GTCTCTCTGTGTCTCTCTGTGTCTCTCTGTGTCTCTCTGTGTCTCTCTGTCTCTCTGTGTCTCTCTGTGTCTCTCTGTGTCTCTCTGTGTCTCTCTGTGTCTCTCTGTGTCTCTCTGTGTCTCTCTGTGTCTCTCTCTGTGTCTCTCTGTGTCTCTCTGTGTCTCTCTGTGTCTCTCTGTGTCTCTCTGTGTCTCTCTGTGTCTCTCTGTGTCTCTCTGTGTCTCTCTGTGTCTCTCTGTGTCTCTCTGTGTCTCTCTGTGTCTCTCTGTGTCTCTCTGTGTCTCTCTGTGTCTCTCTGTGTCTCTCTGTGTCTCTCTGTGTCTCTCTGTGTCTCTCTGTGTCTCTCTGTGTCTCTCTGTGTCTCTCTGTGTCTCTCTGTGTCTCTCTGTGTCTCTCTGTGTCTCTCTGTGTCTCTCTGTGTCTCTCTGTGTCTCTCTGTGTCTCTCTGTGTCTCTCTGTGTCGTCTCTCTGTGTCTCTCTGTGTCTCTCTGTGTCTCTCTGTGTCTCTCTGTGTCTTTCTGTGTCTCTCTGTGTCTCTCTGTGTCTCTGTGTCTCTCTGTGTGTCTCTGTGTGTCTCTGTGTGTCTCTGTGTGTCTCTGTGTGTCTCTCTGTGTGTCTCTGTGTCTCTCTGTGTCTCTGTGTCTCTGTGTCTCTGTGTCTCTGTGTGTCTCTGTGTCTCTGTGTGTCTCTGTGTCTCTGTGTCTCTGTGTCTCTGTGTCTCTGTGTCTGTGTCTGTGTCTGTGTGTGCTTGTTTGAGGGTACCAACTCGTTGGGGTGTTTTCGTTCCAGGGAACCCAAAGGTGACACATACGGCCAAAGTAAAGGGCACCTACGTTCGCAACACGCAGTGCTCCCACCTAGTCACAGGGTGGCTCAAAGGATGCCAGGGGCCAGTGAGCAAATCACGAAAGATGCCAGCTGATTAGGCAAGCACCGTCCAACACCGGGATTGTGTTTTTTGTGTAGGGGCAGCTTTGCAAAATCCAGAGTCTGCGCATTCTGGACAGGCCTGCTTGTTGCTGCAGATGACTTCGGCCAGAAGACTTCAAGTTGACATGCTGCCGTGGCCCGAGTGAGTAGTACCGAGCGAAAACCCATACTGATGGTCGGGGATTCCTTGCTTCCGGCTTGGTGAATTGTACGTGGAGATCCGTCTTACCCAGTGTCGGGACTTTAAACGTCAGCGGTAAACAAATCCGGACTCCCCGCAGTTTAGGGAGTTTAGGCTTTTGGGATCACTGTAGTGGCAAAGAAAGGTGTGGACTTGTTCTAGCCAATCCACTCAACTGAGAATCGCGTGCTGAATCAGCAGCAAGAGTCCGAGAAACAACGAATTGCAGCAGAATCTCACCGCCGGAAATCCGGAATGAATCGGCCCCTGGCCCATTCGTGCAGACATGTCTCAATTTAGAGGGAATCCCCCCACTGCCCGGAAACACGGAATCCAGAAAAAATTAAGGAGCAGATGTACACCTACAAAGTCCAGCACCTACCGGCAAACTGCTCCTGCTTTGTTGGTTGGTTCTGTGTTGTTTTACCTCTCTTTTTTTGGATTTTTCATTATTGTGTTGTTTTTTTCCTCGGCCCAGTAGGTTCATGCTATTTTTTGCTATCTCGGCAGGCCAGAAGAAGGTGAGAGCGGAAGGTCGGTCACAACTTTGGCTTCTGGATTCAGGCTCCTTGACTCGAGCCGAGGACCCAGGATTCGGCCATCAGTGCTGCAGGCTGGATGGAGTTTGGGACCTGCGTGCCGCACCCTCCCATGGAAGCTGACGGGAAGGTGCCGTAATTGGAGGACTACCTTCCTTCTGCGGAACCCCACAGCCAGAACTTCATCCACTTCCCCTTTTGGAAGGCTATGGAAGGCTAAGCACGTGGATGGAGGTTGCTGGGTCTTGTTAGAAATCATCCTGACCCAGACCAAAGGGCTCTTTTGCCTGGGGTCACAGGCCCCATGGCTTACTTCCGATCCGAAGGCACCAGCGCCTGGTGGTGCTCGGTGCTGATTTTGGAGCGCAGCCGCCACGCAGGCGACAGGGCCCCAAGTCCTTGGCCGCGGCTTGTCCAAAACCTCTAAACGGGTGATGTCTGCTCTTCGGGAACCACCAAAATGGCTTCGGTGTTCCTTTTGGTTTCCCTTGAAAACCGTGAAAACCACAACAAAAAAGGGTACAAAAAAACAAACACATAAAACACTTTGGGTGTCAAAGGTGTTGACCGAACGGTCAACCTTTTTGTTTCGTCTGTTCTTTTTTTCTCAGCAGATCGTGATCCGCAAGGTCGACCCTGGAGTCATCAGCCGGGGGGATTTGGGGGAAGTTTCGCCCCAATCAATTAGGAGTTTATAACTCTTGGGTTCCCATGTTTCTCGACCCCGAACTCTGCGCCCGCACCTCGGGATCTTGGATAAGATGTAAACGACTACTCAGGGTTGAAAGCGAGAAGCAGGCATCCCAAATTTTGCCCTGGCGGTAGTGGCTGGGGGTACTGGACATCATCTTAGAGACTAGCCAATCGTGCGGATATAAAGTCGCCGGATGGAATCTACCAAGAAATGGATTGATTTATTTCTGCCGAACAGGTCTCTGGGCAGCGACTGCTTTCAGGCTTCCCGTTTAGGGCCCAGTGGAAAAAAGAACCAAGTTCAGCCGCGTCCATCGGGTCCCATATCCCATTACTAGCTTCCACCAGGGCGATACTACCCCTACCTCTTCCGACCACGATTGCTTTAACAGCCTCCCTTTGGTCCCCCTTCAATCAGGCAACCCGTCAGGTTGGGGGTCTGGATTTTCTGTTTGGATTTGGCTGGTTCTTGTAGGGGGTAAGTGGGAAGCCACCCCCGAACCTCCAAACCGCTAGGCTCCAAACTGCCAATGAAAGGGAAGCTTCTCGGTCTCCCTTTGAAGGGGCAAGCGGCTTAGGGTTGGCTAGGAGTGCCCCAACTGTTGGCAACTCCCAAGTTGAAGATGTCTTGTGTTGCGTGCTAACCTGCTTCAGGCTTCTGCTTGCTTCAAAATTCCACTGCAACCCCTGCACCACAGGACGTGCAAGGAAAATAGTTTTAGGCTTTTTAGGGTGGTTTGGTTCTGTTTATGTGTTTGGTTGGCTGCAAAAAGCAGTCGGTTTGTTGCCACCATACCAAGGGTTGGTTGGGGTCGGCTTCAGCTCAAGATTCGGCTGCCCTGGTTGCTCTGGTTCCGTTCCGCCAGGCGTGGAGTGTGGGGTTGCCGGCTATAGCTCCGCGCTGGACGCCTGTGTCCACGGCAACGGCTGGGCTCCGTGGCGTGAAAAACGACAGATCGGTGGGTCGATCTGTCTTACGCGCTGCCCTGAGTTCGTGGACTTGGTCCTCACTTTTTGGGTTTGGACCATTTGACTGAGAAACCAAAAGTCATGAGAGATGTTTTTTGGCCAGGTCAGGAAGTGAGTTCGAGGGTACTTTTTTTGTTTGTTGGGCGTGGTTTACTAGCGGAAGCCAACCATTCGGAAGCTCCCCGAACTATTCTGCGACCTTTTTGGAGTTCAGCGGGATGACACATAGCCAAGCTGTGAGTGGCCCTTTTTGCATCCCAAAAAAGGCGCATCCATCAAGCTTCATGCACAGGAACCTTTTGAGCAAAGACGAAAAGCTAAACTTGACGGTTAGCCGTCCGGTTCCCCTATGTTTTAAGGTGTTCAGTTGGTTTAGAGTTTGGGTTTCCAAATTTTAACCCACAAGTTAAGCTCGCGCGACCCAGGCTCTTGGGCTTTGCCTCGGGGCTACCATGGCTCAGCAGGCGTGGTCGAATGAATCCCTTTCTCGGTTTGGTTTGGACGGTACCTGCCCTATTTGACTGCAAAAGGAGCTGGGGTTCAAACCTCCCAACAATCCAAACTACCAATGCAGGCCTGAGTATCTTTCTTTTTGGTTTCCGCAGGTTGCATCGGCGAAGTTCCCTGCAATGCGCACCCAAGGGTTCCCAAGTTCACCGACACATGGACACCCTCCCACCAAACCAGGTGGTTCCCGATCGCTATGTGCCTGGCCCCTCACCACTGGCACAGCGCAGATTTTTGTAGATTGTTTGCTCCTGCGTCCTCACGAACGAGTCAATGGCTGCCCGCATTGCCAACGCGCCAAGCTGATTTGTTCAGTTTGGAAGAAACATGAGCAGCCCCCACCGAGCCCTTCCCTCAGAACCTCAATTAAAAAAGCTTCAAACAGCCTTTCCTGAGGGTTGTGGAGGCGGCCTTTGGTTTTCTCTCACCCTATTAGTTAACCCCAAAAGCGAAAAGGATCTTGAGGTGGCATCGCCTTGGCTTCGGGCGAGTTCGGAGGCCGTGCAGTGCCACGCCATGAGCCAGTCCCTGCTCATGGCGGAGTGCGAGCAGCGGGCCCTTCACGAGCCTCTGCTGGCGCAGCAGATCCAGCGGCTGCTGCCCACAGATGCGCGAAAAGATGCGCCGGGATTTGCGGGCGGGGGAGGGGGGGGGTCCTGAAAGGCCCTGGTAGGTCATAGGACAGAGGTCCGTTATATAGAACAAAGAAGAGCACTGCTGCTATTAAGAAAGTTGTTCTCTTCGGTTGCCAGTGGTTGTGCTGGTCCTGCTTTTGCTTCTGTTGACTTGTTCTGTGACCTCTACTACCTACCCCATGTCTGAGCTGCTCAACTGTCATTTGCCACGGAGATATCTGAGCTACAAAAGAGCACCGTTTCCTGCAGGTTTCGGCACGTTGAGCCCTTAGGCTTTCCAACTTGCAACCGCGAAACCCTGAGCAGAAGTTAGGTAAGGTGCTCAGTGTCACTCTTCAACACAAACCGTAGCCCCTTGCGAAGACCACTTTACCCTTATGTGAGACCTTTTCCATTGTTTCCTCGCGCAAACTCGAAATAGTCCCAGACAGTATCCAAGTTTCAAGCGGGCCCAAAGGATTCAAATTTAACATGTTTCCAGCGATTCGCACGGGACGGCAACCCGGGGTGAACGACAAATTGTTCGCCCGAAAACGGGCGGGGAGGCGCTTCGGCTCTTCGAGAGCTTTCCTGCATGGCGCTTGCAAGGCGCAAGTCTCAGAGGCTGAAGGCCCCCAGTGTCTGTTAACTTGCTGGTGCGATTGGTAGGGAATGAAACACTTCCATTTGCTCAAGTATATATATATATATATACATATATATATATATATGTGTGTGTTTTCCCTCTGTTGGTTGCGAGGGAATCTATCACTACTGGCAATATCTGCCTTTTTTCCAGGGGACTTAAGCAAATGGGTGTTGCGAATGCACCAGAAGGGTATTCCCGTAAAGGAAGCCATTGATCATCTTTTTCTACTGCTCATTCCCTCATTCCCTACTGAGCGCCAGCAAGTTGAACAACCCCGAAAGGCTCACTTGCACACCGGATTTGACCTTTTGGTTTCCGTTGTTTGGCCCATCTTAAGTCATGGCACCAAAAGGCTAGCCTTTTATGTTTGGATCCTTTAGGGGCAACTGAACAGGGCTCTCCAAGCAAAGTAGGTTTAAAATCAAAATGGTCCTTTTTTTCCACTGCCACAGGTTGCGGATTTGGACACCTCCTCCTCAGCTCCGGTACTGCCTTTGAACGGTGATTCCCCTTTGGCGGACCCAGACCTCCGGTGGCACCCCGTTTCTTCCCACACGGGTTCCCTTGAAAAGGCGGAGGTCGGTGCAGCCCATGCAAGCGGACAGACAGATTCCCAGCCCTCATTTTTTTTGCATCTTGAGGGATTTGGCTGGTTACCAGAAACACCTACCAATTTTCGGAGGGTTATTTTGAGGATGCCACTTGAAATGCACCAAGTCATATCTGGGTTCTTACCCCTTCCACCATGGAAGGGCAGAGGCTGCCTTTCAAACAGCCTGCCGCAGTCTGAAGGGAGCCGGTGCCCTTCCAGTTACTGGTGCGAGGGTATATGTCTCGCTTTGGGGTGCTGATATGTTCCGAGGCTGGGTCTAACATCGCGGCTCTGGTGTACGGTTGAGGGAGTTTCCCTCTTGAAGCCGATGCTCACAAGGGGCATCGTTTGGGGTGGCGCGAACTTGATGTTGCTTCAAATCATGTGCTTGGGGGAGGGAAATGGGACCCTCCAGCACCCTCCAAGGGTGGTCCATTTGTACCCAAAATGGCTCACGCAAGAGTACTGCAGGTACAATGGACCGCCCTTGGAGGACTGTTGGCCAGCAACCTGTTCACGCGTTCACCGCCATCATAGCAGATCCCTTTTCCTTAGCCAAGGCTAGAGTTCCTAAAACGCAACCTGTTTGTTTCTCCTGGGCCTTTGTTTCCGGTTAAAGAGGTGGTTGTAGCCCAACCCCAACCAGTCACAGGTTACTGGGGTACCTGGTTTAGATGGGCTTTCTTGTACTTACCAGGAACCTTTTTTTTTCCGAATTGCCACCTATGACGTGGCCGTTTTTTTCCCAGAGGGCTGTAGCGTTTCAAGGGGGAGCTCGTTGCACATCTTCTGCCCATCTTTTGGTTCTGCTCACTCGGTTTCGAGCGGAAGATCCCATAGATCTGCAGCTCCCCGCCTGGGATCCAATGATTGGGAGTTCTGGGTCAAACCTGGCAGGCGGTTCTTTACTTGGGAAGTCCCTTATTTCGGGTTGGCCAGTATCACAAATGTGAACTGTGCGGATGGTTCTTGGAAGTGAGCATGTGTTTTTTGAAGCCACCCTTTTTACCTAGGCTTGATTTGTTATTCAAAATGCTTGCCACGCCCACACCCCTACTTTGACAACCCAAAGTGGGGGTGTCTTTTGCCCCCAAAAGAAAAGAAGGTGGTGTTCCCCTCGGTTTCCCTCTTTGAAACTGGTCACCTCAAAGAAAGACACCCGCCCTCCCTCCCCAAACGCAGCCCCCTGAAGGGCACCTGGAAGATACGTTTCCTCTGTATCGAACTCGGCCCCTCGTCGGAGCCTGGGATCGACGGAGGCGACACCACCTCATTGAACAGCGCCCTCTCGGCGTGCCGCAACGCCTCACGCGCCAAGCTCAGATCCTTCGGTCAGCCGAGCCGAAATCGCCTGCTCCGTGATGCCTTATGTTTCCCAGGTCCCCCAGTAGTGCCCTTTTACCGTTTCTTTTTTTTGGGGGAGGGTTCCCCTAGCAAAATAGACTACAGAAAAGAAGGGTACCCTTATTCTAACCACCCTACTGGAGGACCTAGTTTCATTCTGAGCGCTAATTGGCTACGCAACTTTGTGTTTCTTTTACTTTGTTGCTCGGGGGTAGCTAGCTGGTATTTGGAAGGAGGCCGAGGAGCTGGAGCGGTCCCGGTCAAACAGGCTAGGGACATCCACCAGTTATGAATCTCGGTTGAGAACTCGTAGGTGTATGTGCCACCAAAACACATTGCATGTTATTAGTTATGCCTGTTTCCATTTGACAAGGTCGTGTGTGGATGCCCCACCCCAACTGGGAATTCATCCCCATGTACTCCATGCATTGCCTCCCCCCCCACAGAAGGAAATAATGTATGGAATCGGAGATCCTTGTTGGGGGCGAGGGCACGCCCCTCCATACATTACTTTTGAGGTGCCGAAAGTTGGCATTTATCCGAACTTAATTGGGCGTCAACGAGGGGTCTGCAAAGCATATCAACAGGACACATCCGATCGACTATTTGGAGCCCATATGTGTCAACTATCTACGCTTTTACCCCTCCCCACCACCTGCAAAATCATACTGTATGCCAAAATTAGTGAATCTTAAAAGTGAATATTTTCGATTTGAGCAAACATCCCAGTTCCTAGCATCCTTGTTGCGTCATGGGGATTGAACAATATCACGGCCACTTAGCTGCCATGTCCTTACAGAACTCCAGGTAGCTCCCGACTATCATGGAACCCCCCAATTGGCCCCTTTTCAAGGAACATGAATTGGCGACTTGGCCAACTGCCCTGATATCACAACCCGTCAGACCACCACCTTTCGCCTCCCAAAAACGGATCACTACCGGAGGCTTTCTGCCGGAGGTCCATAGGGGGCAAGAGGACTGTTCAGCAAGACACTTGAAGGAGCAACGCAAAAAGTGCCACGGCGCCGTTGCTCTTCAGAAGCTTTCGCCCCACACGGCGGGGCTCGCCTTCTCTCGGGCGGATGGTTGCCTGGCGGCTTCGGACTCTGCGGGCTGCGGTTTGGACTTGCCAGGCCCCGACACGTCGGGTTGGGATGGAGTCCGACGCTGGGGCGCCAGGACTGTTCATTGGGGAAGGGAGCAGTGCGATTCTTTGTTCCAACATCAGGCTGGATAGAAGATATTGGGAAGGACAGGTTGGGAGCGGCGCGAACCGGCGCAGCAAAAATACGTTGCCTTGCCTCAGTGGTTCTGGCCCTGGCAGGTCGGTGGCCTGCCGGTGCTCTCGCCAGTGCAGTTTCGTTGGGCGGCAGCTGCCTCTCAGCGGAAGCAAGTGTTTGCCTTTCTGGCCAATTTGCGCGGGTTTGGCACAGGGTCAAACATGTGATGGTGATGCTTAGGACTCTGCTGCAAGACGCGCCGGCGAGCTGGTGGGAGGCCTTGATGCCTGCGCTTGGCGCTGGTCGGCCACAGGCCGGGATTTGCTTTCATCGAGCGCAGGCGCCGGCCGGCCGAAGATCTGCAAGTGCGGGGGGGCTCGGCCATACTTTGGATTTGCGGGGGATGCTGCGCCGTCCTGCTGCAGCAGATGCAAGACTCAGGACATGATGCGATTACGCGGTTCAATTTGCAGTTGTGGCAAAGCGAGACCTAATTTTGGCATGCCTGGAGATGCACGGCCCTCTTGCTGTGCCAAGTGCAAAACGGCAAGCATGGTGGACGTCAGGAATCCCAAATGCACTTGTGGCAAAGCGAGACCTAATTTTGGAATGCCAGGAGATGCACGGCCCTCTTGCTGTGCCCAGTGCAAGACTGCAAACATGGTGGACGTCAAGAATCGCAGGTGTACGTGTGGCAAATCGCAGCCTTTTTATGGAATGCCTGGAGATGCAAGTCCCTCTTGCTGTGCCAAGTGCAAAACAGCAAGCATGGTAAATATCTTCACGCGGAAATGCAAGTGCGGCAGAACCCAGCCGTGTTTTGGCAGATTGGGAGATGAACGGCCCTCCTTTTGTGCCCAGTGCAAAACACCAGATATGGTGAACATTCTTAAGCCCATGTGCTCCGTATGTGGCAAAACTGCCGGTTTTCCAGACGCTGCTGGCAAGCCACGACAGCTTTGTGCGGTGCATTCTGCGGAGGTTGGCGCGCATGTGCTATCCTCTCCACGATGTTCACGTGTGTCGAGCGACTGCTTGGATGCCTTGGAAGAAGAAATTGGTCGCAAATTTCCCTTCCGCTACCGATTGGATAAGACAGCGCGGACATGGTCAGGCAAGGAGTTTGTGGGCTTGATACCGGGCCGTGCGCTGCAGCCTGATGCATATCACCCAGAGAGGCGCGAAATTGTGGAGTTCCTGGGGAATTACTACCATGGTTTTCCCCCAGAGCACCCGCAGCACCTTGATAAGTACTAAGTCAGAGTTTGCCAACTAGAACGCAAAGAGGAGCAGTTTGCAATTCCCTGTATATGACATAGAATGGAACCCATTGTTTTGGTTCATGATATGGGTCACTTTTGCGTAAGCTCAGGCACCGCAGCTTCGTGTGCGTGGGTGGCCGGCCTGCCATGGAGCTCTACCAGGAGACCATGGCACGCCTGGATCTGTTCACGGCTGCGGGGCTGCGGGTCTCTTACGTTTGGGAGCACGAGTTTATTGAGTGGCAGAAGGCGGCGGCCTGCCTGCAGTTGCTGGCGTGGGAGCAAGCTTTCTGGTTTCTTATTGTCGTGTTTGCAAAGTGTTGGGTTGCCGTGATCCATGCAAACAAATGCCGAGAGAAGAAGCCAAGGGTGCAGGAACAAATCAACTGGTCAATGCTCACAGTAAGCATAGCCTCGCCTTGGCGAAAGAGGCCCAAAGACCTCTGTTAATACTTGATGACATGGATAAGGGTAGCCTCCATCTGTGTGACACTTGCCA